GCGGCGAGACTTTGAAGAGCCGGGCCTTGTCGTCGTCGCGCGGAGTGCAGTACTTGCCATGCTTGTCCGTGCACTGAAAGAGGCGGTCGCCCTCGAACCCGCGCGGCGTGGCCGTGGCGCTCTGCACAGCCACCTCGGCGCACGACTTGATCGGGTAGACAAAGAGGTTCACCGCTTGGGCGTGGTCGGGCCGGTTGGCGATGCGTCGGACGAAGCAGAGGGTGACGAGGAGAGGAGCGGCGACCAGCGCGAGGGCGAACCACTCCTGGGGCACGTCGAGGAGCATTACGGCCTTGGTGTGTTCGGTGCGAGCTCTCCCCGGCTGCGCGACAGAGCAGCGTGGATGAGCGAGTCGGTGGATGCGCGCACAGCTGAGCGTTTTCACCTGGTTGGTTGTCTCCAGGGGCAGCTGAGCGCCAGGGCAGCCTGAGGGGAAGAATTCGGTACCACCTGGTTGGTTGTTGGCCACAGAAAGCTGGGTCTTTCGCCAGACGACGCGAACCACGAGGACGAGACGGCGCCAAGCGAGTACGCGGGCGCGGCGCCCGCGCACAGGCTGGGCGCTGGGGCGACCCCGGCCGGGCCGTCGACGCTCTCGGAGGCTGTGGTACCAGCCAAAGGCGAAGCGGGGGCGAGGCCACAGCCGAGGAAGAGGCATCAGAAACGACTGCGGAGGCAGTCTGGTAACGCCCGGAAGGCGAGCAAGCGACCGGGACGAGCCGAGGGCTCGCCCCGACAGGCGAAGGAGGGGACTCTGGGACCGGAGTCGGGCGGGCGCACATGAGGCATGTCCGTGTACGTACGTGGAGCACGGTGTAGTGTGTTCGCTAGCTCCGAGTAGAGGGGGCGTTCTGCAGTTAAGGGGAAACCCGGTACACGGAACTAACCCTCGGAGACCCGTGTTTACTTTACGGCCCTTGCCCTGCGAACGCGCACCCCCGGGGCTAGGGCTCTCTAGCCCGTAACCCGATACCGATCATCCGGCCCGCTGGGTGCGCTCCTCAGCTCCCCGGCCCTGGATGTGAGGTTACCGACTGCACTCCAAGTGCTCCAAGTGCGAGAGAGGCACTGCGCGCCGCTGACCTTCATGTGGGGATGTGTGCCGACACCAATACTGATCTAATACCTGGAAACCCTTGTTCAAAGCCGACCCTAAGCGCCATCCTTCCTGCTCTCACCTGATGCTGCCGCCGCCTCCTTGGCCCCCTTGGGCGTATTTTGTGTGTGTGTGTGTGTGATACTCACACACACTCACACACACACTTGGGCGTATTTTCTACTCCCAGTGGGGTCCTGGGCCCCCGGGCCCCCTCTTGTTTTCTGTTTTCTGTTTTTCAAAACGCCCGCCCCGCCGGTCACCCCGAAGGGGGTTCGGGCCCTCCCAGGCCCCCTACTCTCGTTAGAGATCAAATAACTGACCGGCCCTGCGCTGGGACTGTTTTGGGCCCCATTTCAGGGGCCCTGCCAATCATGTACTGTATCCCAAAACCCTCATTTTTCCTCCTTTTTTCATTCTTTTTTACCGCTTCCTCTTGGCGCCGCCCTTTGGTTACCGTGTCTTGGTCTTGTGCCTTCCCCCCCCTTTATT